AAAAAAAAAAAGCAGATGATTTTTCATGGCCAAATAGTGGCAAAACAGGTTGCATCCTGGAACCTCCCTGTGCATGCTGGGCACTGACTGGCACGTGCCTGCGGCCCAGGCCAGTGGATTCTGGAAGTGAATCTCGGTGTGAAGATACTGTTGGGAATTCCTGTCTCTCTCTCTCTATCTTCTATCTTCTCTTCTCTTGCTTCTTCTCATGGAAAAAGAAAAAGAGATAAACTTAAAAAATAAAAGGAACACTTTCATTTGACAAAGAATAAAGCAATTCTAAACAGAGGATACGGAATCTCTTTTATGCATAAAGGTGATCTCATATAGAGTGATACAGATAGTCATGAAAGCGCATGTTGGGAAGGGTGTCATGCCTAGTCTAGAAAGCAGCGTAGGCCTGTCTCTTCATGCACCTGCTCTGCACAGGCTCTGTGCAGTGAAGATAGGAGTTAGCAGAGCAGTCTCCTGTAGCCAGGGCTGAGATACTTACCTGTTTATTTAACGTGTTTACATGTGAGCAAAGGGAATCCATCTAGTTATTGGTGTGAATCCACCTAATTACATGTGCTTGCTTGAAAGAGAGGGAAAAGAGAAAAAGAAAGGAAGAAAGCACCATACTGCAGCATATCTCCTCCATTTTTCCATCCTTTCAGGGTTTGGGGTACCCACGCACATATGCCTGGCCTGTTTTTCAAGCCACTGGTGCTGGAATTTAAACCATGTGGTTGGTCATGTGGACTCTAACTCTCTTAACCACCAGGCCACAGGGCCAGTCCAAGAATGGTAATTTTTCCTACAACTCTCTATTTTTTCTCTCAATCTCTCCTCCTGCCATTTAATGAAACACTTATTTATCCCAACTGTAACAGCAGAAGTTATCATCACAGTAGTTTGAAAGATGATTGAAGTTGTGGAACCTATTGTGACTGATTGCATTTACCCTGCTTAGTTAAGTTAATGAAAATCAGGGTGGAATCTCTCTCTAGATAGAGTCTATATTTGATTACATTCATAAAATCCTAAAACAAATTTGTCTGTCTCAATTCTCAAAAGTACTTATGTTGTTCTTGAGACTGTTAGAACACATTTCGCAACTCTACATTACGTGAGCAAGTAAGCAGGCTTGTTTCTCAGTCTTGACCAATCCTAAGAGAAGGGAAGGAGCAGAGGAAAAAGGTGGAGAGAATTTGGATACTTCCAGCCATTTTCTTTTTTCTTTCACTTGCCAGAGAGAGAAAGGGGTGGGAGGAGAAAACCTCCCTCAATAGGGCAACATCAGGCTGCAATCCCTTCTCCTTCATTTCTTTATCCTGTTGGGATTTGGGTCACACACACGCCTGATGTGGTTTTTAAGCTGCTGAGTCAAGACTTGAACTGCAGTTGCTCATATGAGATCTATCTCTCTTAACTTCTAGGCTATGGGGCCAGTTCAGGTGTTTCAATTCCCTCAAAAGAAATAGTATTCAAGTCTTTGAGGAAGTAACTGAAATTCCTTTTAATTTTGCTTTCCCAACATCAAGAACTTTACAGTGGCCTAAGAGAAGCAAGGGACCTTCAGATTTCCTTGGCAAAGAAGGTTCAGCTGAGGGGCCAGCAGGTTATGGTGCTGGACTCCCACATAGCTGAATGCGTTTTGAGTCCTGGACATGGACATGGACACAGTGGCTTGATAAATCATGCTAGGCGTTTATGCATGCATACCCAAAATCTCAGGAGAATGGAAGAGAAAGAATTGTGGCATGGCCATTCCTCCCACCCCCTCCATCCCGTGATTTCTCACATTCCCTTTCACTGTCTCCCTGGTAAGCCCACACAACTCACAAGAAGAAAAAGAAAGTTTAGCTGAAGGAATTGGGACTGCATTGACTGGCCCACACCTGCCCAAATGGACACTTTCAGAAGATGGGCATGGAAGAGGAAAAAGAATGAACAAAGGGGATGTTCTAATTTTCCATTTATTGAGAGATGAACTTTTGAAAAGCAATTGTGAAGCCAAATGAAAAAACAATTAAAGTTGTTTTCTTATATTCCACTCCATCTTAAACTTTATTTAATTAGGGTCTTGACAGGTACTTTTCACCAGCATAATCATGTATTAGCATTAAGAGGTTCCTCTGTACCCCCTGGAGGGACAGTCCAGTTTCTTCCATAAAGTCCTACTTGAAAATGGAATTATTTTGTCCTGTAGAAAAGCTTAGTGTGCTCTAAAATCATCTTTGGAACATGTGATTTTTTTTCTGTATTTTTAGATAATCATCATAAAGAGTTGTTGGAGCTGGGAAAGAGAAGGTAAAAACAAAACAAAATAAAAAACACCTAGCATTAGTCCAGGTCGATTTTAGATGCAGAGCCTATGATTCATGCATGGAAAGTTACTCAATCCAATGACCACACTAAAATGAACAAATGTGTCATTCTCTTTTAAGTTCATCAAAATTAACCTAATTAGGTTTCCGTTGTCCTGGAGGCAAATGAAGTCACCAAGGCCAGGATGACTTCCTTGTTTCTAAACAATACGCTCTCACACTTTCTGACCTTTGAACACATTGCTGTCTCCTGGAATGCCTTTCCCTCCCCACTTCATTTACTGCTTGTCTTTCAAATTCACTGAAAGAGTTTTTCCCCTGACTCCTAATCTGTGGTCCCTCATTTGTGTTCTCTTGCACTTTATATCATGGTACTGTTCACCCTGTACTGGAATAACGTGAAATCTGATGAAGACTACACGTTCCTTCAGCAACCGTGTCTCTTTCAACTTTTTACACTCTAGGATGCCCCAAGTAGTGAGCTGTGAGTGCTCTGGAAACATTGGATAATTCAACACCAAGCCCCTATTTTCCCTCCAAACATCATTCTTTACAGATGTTCCTTTGATCAGGTTGCAGCTAAAAGAAACTGATTTTAGTTTTCTTGAACTTTTATTTTTGAACTTGTTTCTTTTATTTGCTTTTTAATTTTTTAAAATTATTTTATTCACTTATTCATTATTTTTTCACATGGTTTTTTTGCCAGAGAAAGAGAGAGAGAGCGCGAGCAAGCAAGCTGCCAGGTTCAGGACTTGAACCATGGTCAGCCATGTGGGAATTCCAGCGCCTTAAGCACCATACCACCTTCTGGCCCCTTGAACTTGTTTCTTAAACTTAGGCTTTTAGCAAATTCAGCATTGCTACTGTTGGGTTCTCATAAAAGTCATGATGTATTTTTCTATGCAAATCGTGTAAAGACTTCCTATGACCCAATACTTTGGACAAGCTACCGTTAGGCCAAGGTAGCATAATCATCGCCATGTCAGGGAATGCTGGGGCAAGTTAGCTTAATTGCTACCCTGTTAAGTCTTCAAGGACGGAGCCCACTTTGTTAGAGCCTCAAGGATGGAAATCAGGAGTCTGGGAACTCTTGGATAAGTGGAAAATGGGAGGGCCCAGCACCTCCAAGGCAAGGTCATCCAGACCCTTAACTGAGAGCCCTTATCTAGACCTGAGCAGGTGGTGATAGCTGGACCCTCGCTTCTCATACCCCCTCCCTTGTATGTGTTACATTCTATGAAAAATCCTTAACTATAAAAGATCCCTTTATCTTAGGCTCGGGGTCCTTGTTAAGGCCCGCTGCCACGGGCTGAAACTTGGACCCCAGCTAGCTGGAAAAATAAAAGCCTCTTTTGCAGTTGCTTTGTCGTCTTTTCTGCATCTCCATCAGTTAGACCGACCTCTGGATCCTTACATTACTTCATTCAGGGGCTATCAAGAGTCTATCACATTCCAGGCACTAGCCTAAGCCCAGAGATTTCCATTTAGGTTTATCATCTGGGGAAGAAAATAGCAATAGACTATTCATCTCTGCCAGAGATATGCAGCGCATTTCCAGGCAATGTGAGATGTATGTGGCAGAATATGTGGAGTGTTCTGGAAATCAGGAAAGAAGGTGCAGCTGACACTGTAAGAATGAACCTCAATTGCTCAAGTCGGTGAATCAGGGAGGAGGATGCACTGAAGGAAGACAATTAGGAGTAGGTGGTATTTGACCTGGATCTTGAGATGAGTAGGAGATTGACGTGTACTTTGGAGATTGATAGAATCAAAGCCGGACAATAAAATCACATTTTCTTTAGAAGCTATTGCAACAGAGGAAAGAGAGCTCAGAATACATCGAGAACCGGGCTCAATTCTGCAATAATTTCTGAATAAAGTGTTTCCTATCTGGCTCTGGCTCTGGCTCTGGGAGGAAGGGGTAGCAAGTCAGGTCATTTCGAATAGAGGTAAAAGAAGGCACAAACGCAAGGAGGAGTAAAGCAGTTGAGGGGAAAAGTTGAGTAATCCAAAGAAAATTAGTCAAGGAAAAATTAGTCAAGGAAAACAAATTGTCTACAGTCAGAAATGCGGCAGTTGAGGAAAAGTAGGTTTCTTTTAATAACTGGGCAGGGTTGTTTGTAGAAAATGAAATGTTTTTCTGTTTTTTTCACGGGAGCGCAATGGCAAAGGTAAATGTGAACAAGACTGCTTGGAACGCTGCCCGAGAAGTTTGGACCTTCTTCTGGAGAGCCTACAGGAGTTCTCAGGGAGCCGTACATCTTTATAAAGATGATTATGGGCTCAACAGGCAACAGTTGGAGCCGCAGGAAGAAGCCCCTCCTCCGGCCAGTTTCCTTATTTATAATAAAGAAATGCGACGGGTCAGACGCTCTCTTTGATTCCCTCCAACCATCGAGGTACCTCTGCCTTCCTGCCATTACTGGACGCTGGGTCTCACCCCCTCTACCTTATCTTGGTCCGTTGTCACCCACCCAGTCCCCTGGCCTGCCTTAAGTTCTTTCAACAGGAGGAGCGGGGTGGGGAGGGACGGATACACCCCGGGGTCCAACAAATGAGCCTCTCTCCGCGCCCTTCGTCCCAGAGCACCACCTGGGGAGTGCCTGTGGGCCAGGCGCGCCCTGGAGTGGGTGGGGAGCGTGGCTTTCCGGTCGTTTCCGTCCTGGATCTCTCGGGATGGGAGGCCCGCCCTCCACACCGCGGAGCCAGCCTGGCGAGAGCAGCAGGAGCTGGAGTCCCCGGTGCCCCAGGGAGACAAAGCGGAACAGCAGACAGCGGGCAGCACGCCCCGCCGCGATCCCCGGCAGCGCCTCGGGTAGCAGTCGGCTCCCAGAGAGGGCCGGGGCCGCGGGCCCGAGGCGCAGGCTCCACTTTGGGGCCACCGGGCGGATCGGGGGCTAGCGATCGCGGTGTGCGCAGCACGGGTCACGTGGGGCGGAGAGGGCGGTCCGGGCCACGTGACCGGCGGGCCCGGCGCCCTCGCTCGGCCTGGCGCTCCTCCCCTTCGCCGGTGCCACCGCTCGCTCCTGCTTCTCTGGCCCGCGACACGCCGTGACCCCTTCTCTTCCATTCTCCTCTCATGATCTTGGACAGGCACACACACATGCCTGGTGTGAGTTTAAGCCACTGGGTCCGGGACTTGAACTGTGGTCAACTACATGAGAGTCCAGCAACAGCAGCTCCCCGACGTTTGCTCCTGCAAGGAAGAGCAGGGAAGGGTGGGGAGAGGCGAGGAAAGTTTTCCCTGCTCCTGCCTGATTCGAACTGCTTGGACTCGGTTTTGCTCGTAGCCGAAACCCGTCTCTGCTCTGGGCGCCGCTTTCCCGAGAGGAGACCTTCCCTCCCATTCTTCCCATCCTCACTCCGCCCTTGCCAAGATCTCAGCATCATCGTCTTCGCCTCCCGAGGGTGTTTGTGTCACCAACCCTATCCTTCACTGCCTCCCTTTCCCCACCGACACAGAATCCACAGAGGGAGAAGGGATTTCTTAAGGGGCACTTTGATCCAGGGGTGACGTTTCCCTTGTCCTGCCTTTGGTAAATACCGGCCGTATTGAGAGTACCACTGAGGCACGCTCTGTTCTGCTCTCGAAAGTGGCTTCCCGTTCTTATTTGTGTGACATTCTAAAGCATTTGCTGCAGAACTGTTTGCATACAGCTGGGGACTGCAATTTTGTAAAGCAGTCTTGTAATAATGCTTTTAAACAACCAAATTCATGGCCTTATTTGCCTTCGCCCTATTCTTTTTCTTTTTTTTCTTCCCAGGTATTAAAGCTCTTAGAGGGCAAAATCTGAGCTCATGAAACTGGCGTGTATTGTTGGCTAATATCAAAACATCACGGTATATTTTTCCAGGAGGAATGGAAAAATGCGTGAATCCGGACAAGTAGTGTATGGTGTACTTTAAACTTTAGAGTATCCAATGGAAGTGAGCAGTGGGTGGATTTAAACCCTTTGAACTGCTTTCAGGGTTCAGTATGCAACTGTATATTTAGATTCTATTAATATAGCAGTTCATCTGTGGGATGGATTTTAATCCATTTACTCCATTGTGTGAATACCAGTCTGTTTATTAATGCTTGTAGACAAGTCTTTTGACTTCTACCCTCTAGTCTGTTTCTGTTGAAGAGGAAGCATATTAAATTTTTTTCTAAAAGAATCATTTAGTTTTATTAATAATAATTACTTAAAATTACTTAAAATTTGTAGGGCACATGCACTCGAGACAGAGAGAGAAAGAGAAAGAGAAAGAGAAAGAGAAAGTGGTTGGCCATGAGCAAGGAAGCTGCCAGGTCTGGGACTTGAACTGTGGTTGGCCATATCTGGTCCCCAAATTATTTTAGATTTTTAAAGAGCATCTGTGTGTTTCAGCAAACTTTGGTTCCATCTTAATAGTAAGTAGCTGGGAAGTCTGAGACTGACCTTTACCTGAGAGTCATTGTGGGCAGGTGGAACTATAAAAAAAGTGAAAGGCCCTTATTAGGAAAATGATAGTAAACAAGGGTGGGCCCTTAAGGGGTTTTAAGTCCAGACAAGGCATTAGGACAGATTTAAAAATTATTCTATGGTTTAAAAAAAAAGAAATATGTTATATATTATGTGTATGTGTTGAAGAACACACATGAGGGGTGTGATGAATGTTGACTGAATTAAACTAGAGTAGACTTCCTAGAGAAGATCAGTTTTTTGGATGACTGTCTAAGTCAGTTATGTATTTGACCCACAATATGCATTTAATTAAAAAATTCTGGGCTAGCTGGTGGTGTGGTGGTTAAGGTAGATCCCACATGGCTGATTGCATGATTCGAGTCCTGGACCTGATGGTTTGAAAAGCACGCTGGGGGAACCAGCAGATAGCTGGTAATGGCTACTACTGGACTCCCATGGAGCTGAGCATGGTTTGGGTTCCGGACCTGGTGGCTTAAACTCTTGCCAGGTACGTGTATGTGCGTGCCCAAGATCCCAAGAGGAGAATGGAGAAAAAGGGATCTCAGCGTGGCCATCCCCCCTTGGGCGGTGATTTCTAGATTTCTGTCTCTCTGGTGAGCGCACACACCCTATAGCAAATAAATAAATAAATAAAATACCCCCCCCCCGAAAAAAAACAAAGCTAAGTACATTTACTTTACACTATAAACTTAGAAAAGTTCTGCAAGCAAAATACGAAAGAAAACTTGGAAAATACAAAGAGGAATGTATATGCACTGTAATTATACTATTTAAGAATAATAACTAATATTTTGAGGTATAAGTACTTTTTTTTTTAAGAATTAGTTTATTTAACTTTATTTAATTTGACCAAAGTGAGGGTGGGGGGAGAAAGTGAGAAAGCAAGCTGCCAGGTCCGGGACTCGAACCGCAGTTGGTCATGTGGAAGTTCAGCACCCTTAACCACCACACCACCTGCTGGACCCCAGGGTGTAAGTACTTTTAGCTATACAAATTTATAGGGTTTCTGAGTGTAGATACTTGAGATTTCAGATTTTAAGGAATACTATGGTATCCAATTCTAGCTCATTTTTGAGTTTAGGAAAGCCAGTAGCAATAATTTTGGTAATGATGAACCTATTCAAATCTGTTTGATTCTTGAGTTTAGATAGTTTGATACCAAACATTCAAATAGAGATATCTTGGGATCAGGAGATGGCATAATGATTACATTGCTGGACTCCCATGTAGTTGACTGTGGTTTGGGAATGGTTTTGGGAATGGAGGAGAAAGGACTGGCGTGGCCACCCTCCCTTAGGGGTGATTCCTTGCTTTCTGTCTCTCTCTTGTCTCTCCAGTGAGGCACACGCCCTATACAAAAAAAGGGGGGGTGCTGTCTCTGTATTTTTGAGTGTTGGATACACTTTTAGAAATGATCATTTTCATGAATGAACGATAACACAATAGTAAGATGTGCAATGACTTAAGGAAGTGATGAATCTAATCCCGGGAAGACTATGCAGACCATCCCTTTTGTTGTGTGTATGTGTGTGTGTGTGTTTAGAGATTTTTGCTATAGGGAGCCTGTGCTCACTGGAGAGACAGAGAGACAGAAAGCAAGAAATCATTCCCTGGGGGGGGATGACCGCACTGAAGTCCCTTCTCTTCCATTCTCCTCTTGGAATATTGGGCATGCAAACACAAGCGCCTGGTGTGAGTTTCAAGCAGCCAGGTCTAGGACTTGAACTGCAGTCAGCCATGTGGGAGTTCAGTGCCTTAACCATCAGGTGAACCCCAGACCATTCTTGAAGGATGGTATCTGTCTTTCCTACAAGTCTAGAAAAGAAGGTAACATGGCTTTTCTGAGATTAGCATTCCACAGGGGCAGTTCTTTGTCAAGGTATTCTTTGTGATGCAGAAGAGAAAGTTCTAATTTTGAAAGTATTCTAGCCCCTCTGAAGCGCTTCAATCCTGACCTCAAGTGGTGTAGTCGAAGCATCTAGTAGTATTGTTTACAGCTATGATAGACTGTTTCCAACAATGACTGCCAGTAATTCTTCCCATCCCTGTGCTTGACGTCCTGTCATCGAGACATGGAGTCTGTTTCTGCTCCCTGTGAATCTAGACCGGCCCCTTGTTTTGACCAATAGGCAGTAATGATACTGTACCAATTCTGGGCAGAGTCCTTAACAGACACGGCAGCTTTAGCTTTCCCTCTCTTGGAAACCAGTCTGTGTTTGTAGAAGCTTGGGCTCAACTAAGTGGAGAAAGAGAGACCACTTGGACTGTCCCAGACAGGAGAAAGGGGGTTGTTTCAGTTCTAGCGAGCACTCGGTACCGATGAGCTCACGAGTAACCGCACTGGGTGCACTCAAATTCAGGATCTAAAGAAATAATACAATGCTATTGTTTTTCTAAGAATTTTTAAATTTAACTTTATTCATTTACTTTAATTTGACCAGAGAGGGACAGAGAGAGAGAGAAAAGTGAGAAAGCAAGCTGCCAGGGCTGGGACTCGAACGATGTGGGAGTCTAGTGCCCTTAACCACTGTACCACCTGCCAGCCCCATTGCTGTGGTTTTTAAGCCACTGAATTTTGGGATGGTATGCCAGTCAGCATTAGATAACTGAAACAACAACAAACACTATTGGTTCCTAAAACTCTTGATATAATTCTGGGTCACATCTAAGTTAGCCCCAAGATGTGAACCCTGAGTACCAAATTGTGGTCAGCATATACTTTAAATCCCTAAATTAGTTTAGTTTAAATCTTCATATCACATAGGGATGTGTTTATTGAATTAGTTAAATTGAACCATGTATGACTCTGTATCTCATACTTTACAAGGTAACTTGTTAAATAAAAGAAAAATCATTCTCTTTTTTGTAATTATTCCTTTTATATGTATTTATCATTATCAGTTGTAAGTTAACACTTGGTGATGCTCATCTGAAGTGTTTTAAAGGAATTACCTATTGTAATGACAGGTGTGTGATTTTTCTTTTGTAATAGTGGGCTGGGTTGTCGGAAAAGCCATGACGCATTTTTACATAGAAACAGAAAAATATGCCAGGACTTTCCAACAGCCCAATCGTTTGCCATTTAATGAGGTTAGCAACATGTTTGTAATTATATGTCCATACAGTAAGAAAGATCTGCAGTGAACATGTATGACAGATGCCTTGTTTTCAAAGGTAGTTGGAGAGAATCTTAAGCCAACCCGTAACTGTATATTTCAGGACTTCAAACAAACAAATTGGATTATTTTAGAAGCACTTTTCTCAGTTGCCTTTAAATGGGAAAATCCTCTGAGCAACTTCATATTCCAGTTCTGGTTAGACCAGCTTTTTTTCTTTCCTTTTTGATTTTTAAAAAGTCTTTCCTGGA